AGTCGCGGCCCTCGATAAGTCGCGGTTTTTGCTTGGATCCCAACACCCGCGACTTAGCGAGGGGCCACTGTATTATTATATAAAATTTGTACCCATATATTATCGATTACCTGTAATCAACCACATTTTCGTTTTTTGTGCTTCACGTCAATAAATGGACTATAATATTGCCTCTTTTTACATTTTACATTTCCATAAAGCATGGTTGCACTCGTTTCAAGAAAAATAGAAATACAGAAACTAACTTATTCAATCTGCGGAACTATCCAATCGTCAACATAAAATCAAAATCATACTAGTTTGAAATAATAAAGACACATAGAAGTTTTTCACAAAAGTAATGGTCAATAAATGTATCATCGAAACGGCGTTGACAGCTGACGTCATATACCCCTATCACCAAAGCCACCCTCACAAGAACGATTCTTCTTATTTGAGTTGTTGCAGTAATGGCTTCATAATTCATCCAGGTATATTCGCAAAAACAAAAAGAGATTAACATATTTGTTTCATTTTGATATGTTATTCGTGAAGATAAAAGTTTGAATGTCTTTGACACATTCTAGGACAAAGGTATTCGGATTACACTTTCGTATGTAAAATAAATAATACCATGTAGTAAAACTGCGATTCTGTGGTCCATCTTGCTAATACAAACACATAATAATCATCACATAGTACGAGATAATCTACTCAAATCGTTTTTCTTGGGTGGTTCGAGATTCCGTGGTAGTGTACGGTTTTCACGTTTTGTATCTAGACTTATAAGGACTTTCTCATCGAAATTTCGTAGGGTGATGAACTCCTTGGGAATAAAACAAATCATTGTCATTCATTGCTACATTGAATATAGCAATGGGGTAAAGGACAAACAATAAACCAGTTCACATTTCACACAAGTGTAATATAAGACTGATATACTACTAGTATTCATGAGCTTCCGTTTACTTCCGTGTATATTGTCTATACTATCTCTACCTACCTCTTCTGAATGTACCATGTCGTCTAATTCATGATTGACTATATCAAATGAAGGTCTACTAGCCGGCACATCTTGCCAACACTTCAACATTAAGTTGTATCTGAAAACAACAAAATACGAAAATTCACAAAACAGTGCCAAAACTAACTGCATAAAATCTTCCAATATGCTGAAGTGACATAGTGTATACAACGTGTCTACTTACATTGTTGTTTCACAGTGTGTTGGTTTCGGCATCCTGTATCCAACTGGCACTTTATCGATAACTTCAATATTAGACATGTGATGATATGGTGTTGAACCTAATGATGTCAAATCATTTTATTGCATGTTTTCTATTTGCCCATAAAACTTGAATTTAACAGATGCATCAAGAAAAAGTATTTTCTTTAGAACAAATTTCGTATTAAATACTAGCTACATCAATCGGGTTAATATCGGCTGCATGGCACTACATCAATTACAATGATTAATTATTTTGATATTATAAGTCTGCCAATAACGCTAAATTACATATTTACCAAGAGTTACTATTTCCCATAGCAACACACCATACGACCACACGTCACTCATACTGGAGTATGTATCATACAGCAAGGATTCCGGCGCCATCCAACGAACAGGTACATAGCCCTACAATAAATAATGTATAATTTATGAAAAAAAACTGAACTCAAATTCCTGTCTATCATATGCACCATGCCTATTCAGATGCACTTACGTGAGTTTTTCTGTCCATGTCTTTAACGTCAAGGACATCTCTAGCAAAACCAAAGTCAGACACCTTGCATGTCTTGTCCGCATCCACCAGTACATTACGCGCAGCCAAGTCACGGTGAACACACTGTAATACAAAAACATCGCTAATTTCATTTATAGAGTTCCCATCACATTATTACGTTTTAGTAATATAAATTGAATTATGTTTAATTGATTTTGTAGATAATTATGTGCAATGGTCATATAATGTCAGATGTTTGACTTACTAACCTCTTTTTCTTCCAAAAAAGCCATTCCCTTAGCAACTTGCCAAGCAAATGATAGAAGGTCGTCTGATGATAGGTATTTGCTGTTGGGATGTAAGTTCTTGTAGTTAGCAAGCGTGTCTGTTTTACTCCTTCGTAAATAATGCTGCAAATCGCCTTCAGGTAAATATTCCATAATTAGATATAAAGGATCTAAAAAAACAATTCCACAACAACAACAATAAATGTCAGCAGTGCAGAAATGTCAATTTTGTATACTTAACTGTGAAATGCAAAATATAATGTATGCACAAACGACCTCAGTATAGTCGTATTTCAGAAGTTTCTGTGTTCATTGAACACGATTCGACATTAGTATTAGAGGGTCAATAATTCTATCAGCTCTCAGGCAGTAGGTTGCGTCTGTGTGTTCGTTATCTGCTGCCTCCAAAACAAAGTAATAATTGCAACTCGAATTATTGGTGGCGCTATACCATCAGATAACAAAATATATGTAAATCGTATGACCTAATTCCTTATGTCAACTCTCATTTCCAAACTTACGCTCTCGTGTGCAGCATCCGAGTAAAGAAACAACATTTGGATGTGGAGGTAATCGTTTCATTAGCTTGATTTCTTTCAGTAAGTCTTCTCTTTCCATTGGACTGGAATCATCTGACTCGACACAAAATAAATGAGAGATAATATCGTTGGCGGTGTAAAACATCTATAAGTAATCGAATATGTTTTGATGCTAATATGTTTTAATTTTAAAGAATTACCACCCCCACCTTTCAGTGTTTTCACCGCAGCAGTCATCCATATATCATTGCCAAGTAAACTGAACGCAACTGCTTTCATCACCTCTCCAAATTCGCCGACTCCTATAATATCTTGTATAATAACTGCATCATGTGGTAGTTCCCACTTTACATCACTCCCCGGTTCACAGCGTTCCTTGAAATGTTAATAAATAACGTATTTTACAGGCGTTGTATACGTTGCTATGAGTCTCACATCGAACAGGACGCGGCACGACGGCTGCCGCCCTTTAAGATTGCATTTTTTATGTCTACGGCCAGTGATACTCTATGTACAAAGTATTAGGTGAATTTTTCATTTTTTTTATTTTAAAAACTATATATCTTACCTTGAATGTTGATAAACGTTCTTGTGCTGTGAGATTGAAGACAAAAATGAGATATTTTAAAATAAAATATTGAATAATAATATTAAATAAAATTAATATTGAAAATATAAAAAAAAAACAGAAAAATGGTGTATTTCATTTAAACCATACCTTTGTCTGTTTTGACATCAATCAAGCCCATGTATTCACTTCTCGTTGGCGAGGAGGCAAGTGTTTGGGCGGGAGCAGCAGCCCGGTTTAAATTAGCGTAACCTTTTGGTACTTGCGTCTCTGGTCTGTAAACATATCATATACACAGCTAACCATCCGTATTTTATTTTTACAAAATGTAATTTTATTAACCACCGCGCTTACGTATTTCGATGCGTACTTATCAATATATGGTATATGCGATTACTTACAATGGTACAGCAGCTTCGTTTTCTTGCACTCTCTCTTGTGCTAAAAGTAAAATAAAACCGTGCTTTAAAACTACTCTGTCGTTCGCACAGTTGACGATATAAGAAATGGATAAGGAAAAATAAATGCACAACTCAAAGCAGTGCTGTCATAGAAAACAGTTACTTACTTTCGTCATCATTATTGGACCGTCTCTTCCTAATACATATTATGGCATATATGAATAAAATAACAATTATAACAATACCAGTGCCAATAATCACAAAATATACCGGTGCAAGATTATCGTCTTCTTCATAAAGAGGCAGATCAGGTGTTGAGGCTTGAAATAGAATAACATAAGTTACCAACGGATATATTGGCAACAGTGCAATAGCATGGTGTGTGTGTGTGTGTGTGTGCATGTGTGAAATTTAACTGAACTCTATTCAAACTACAATGGTAATTATCACAACTCATGATAATTCGGTGTAATACTCTCTTATATAATTCAAGGTTATTAGCAATACTTACTATAATATCTTACTTGTCGCCTCCTAATATGTCGGCTGCCAACTGAAAACATGTTACATAGTAACATACAATGATCCACGCTCACTCACAGAACCATGGTAACCAAATTACATAAATAGTGATATAATACTAGTGGAAGTTGAATTTCAGTCAGGAACTGCCTATATAACTGTTATGATAATAAACGTAAGCATCGCAGATAGAGTTAAATACACAACCCGTCACACACTTGTACTCGTTAGAAATAATAGCGCCATACGCGGCATCTCCATACCTCGCTTAACTGTACAAAGGTGTTCAAAGGTCAATAGTTGATTCAATGTTGTTGCAATAAACAACATGACGCAGCCACCACAACGATAATCCAAAACAGAGCAAGTTGGTTCACTTTCAAGTTGATGAATGTGTTGTTTGAATACATGTATATGTTAATTAGTATTAATTAAACATATCGTAAAAACTAATTACGCAGTTATAGCGCCAACACAGGCATTGGCCAATAACGAAAACACGACATTACGATAAGTAAAACAATTAAGAACAACACTGACTCACATACCGTAAAATTTCACATATTAAACAAGATCGTTAGTGTGATTATTCAGTTCAGACGGAGGTCAAGCAATTCCATGGTTATTTGTTTGATCCATCGGCTATGTATACGTTCTACACACAAAATGGCGTAAACTATTTGGTGTGGGTAATATTCAACCTGTGGTTTGTTATTTGTTTGTTTTAATACGCATGCCTGTGAAGGGTGTGTATTAGGTCACCAGTACCCAGGGTTCATCTTTACTGAGATTACCACCAAATCAAAGTCAGGACGTGACGAGATATCAGAGAGTACACACATGAACGTCAAAAATGTGTTATTTATATAAAATGAAACAAAATAGTTCTCTCTGACATCGTATGCTGGACACATTATGTATAGAAAAATTAATCGTTGAAAAATATAAACATTACATATTTTCACGTAAGTGTTTTTTTCTATTGTCAATTGTGAATATTGATAAAACTACGTACACTAGTCTATTGTCAAAACTATGGATTGACACAATGTCTGTATTATCACCTCTGTTGTCAACGTTGTCTAAATAAAATACCATGTTATTTCAAGCGCCCACACGAGCATGATCTGTATCTCCATTAAATGCATATAAATGCTTACACATTACAAATACTCGCTATATTTTCCTTTCCATACTATGAACACAAATCATGCAACTATTTAATTCAATACCGTTATATATATTGAAATCTTTCATCGTTAATACATTGTCGAAGTTATTCCCCCTGCTAAGACGATGCCTTTTTTTTCTTGACATCCACTGCAATGTAAACATATTTACGTTAGGTCGAACACTTACACTGACTATGGCAAAATAATATACGTAAATGACTGCTACAACAAGGTAGGTACAGAGATGTGTAAAATAACGGAAACTAAAAAAAATATTAAAAATACACAATAAGAAACTCAAAACACTGGAGCTAAATTTTATCCTAGGCAAGGGAACTGAGTATTTGTCTATGCTCAACTCGGCGAACCCACATGTAACAATATTCTGCTAAAACAATTGCCCAATTACAATAGACAATTAAAACAAGATGAACACTTACAACTAAAAACATCAACATATTAGTGACGTGAAAACAAAAGATATCACGAGAACAGCGAATGACTTAAATATTAAACACGCATGTTTTGCTTCTCGTCATTGCGCACCAGTTTGAAACCTGTGATACCCTTTTTGTGAGTAAATTTGCGTACTGTTATAGTGCGCCACATACGGTAGAATGGAGAAATGTATGTTTTCTGTTTTAATGCAATTACGTTGAACGTATATCTTACTAGTGTGGTAGGTACTAAATAATGTTAATATAAATGATGGAATTATTTTTTTCAATTTTCTCTATGACTGTTTGGCCTTACAGTGCCTACATATACTTATGATTTAACTTGACACGTATCTAATTCAATTGCTTTTTGAAAACCACTAGACCAGTCACCATGTGTTTAGGATTCCCGGCGTATAATGGAAGCGTCTGTTTTGAACTTAAATGAAGTGTCAAGATTTTCCGAAATAAATATTCATTTCAACCATTATCATAACTACTAATGGCGTTAAGGTAGCAAGTATTATTTAGTATTATTTGCATACTTGTTTTCATCTTCTAATTGTGACTAAATAACTACACAAAGATCCAGGAAAGTATATATTTTTGGAATCGCCAGACTTCAAGCTTTTCAAAATTGTGCGTCTGCATTCTACGACGCGTTACTCAATCAAAGGTAACACATACTTTTTTCTGTAAAAAACATAATTACGCTTTTATGCTGGTGATAAGAAGTGTTTTTGTTTCACTTTTCCTAGTTGTTCACTAGTCTGTAAAATTGAGTGTGTCTTGTCAGTTTTATTCAAGCAACGCGTTTTAAAAAGTAGTGTGCTAAATTTTAGTCGCATTGCCCCAATTCAAACCACAACACGTTGGTAAATAATTCACGTAATAGTAACATACACTCCTAGAAAACGTTGATGAAGTCACGGCAAAGTGTTTCAAGCTTGTTTATCGGCAAAACCGATTTGTTTTCACACCAACGTCTGTTTTAACATCTGCAGGGACATCCAAATGTACAAGGCTATTGGAAACCGACAAAATAAAGGGATGGGATATCTATAATTCGATATAATCGGCAGATGAGAACACACAAATCAATGACCTTTTGTATGACACATTGATATGCAAATGACTAATCTGTGAAACAAACAGAGGCGAAGACCAACCACTCAAGTGTTTGTAAACACTCATCGTGTGTCAGATAGCTACTGATAACACATCATAACTTTATGGATTACATGAGATAGCGAAAGAGTGCAAGACCCCCACATGCAGACGGGCAGCAGTTAATCAATCAAGCAGTCGGCAACGTAAACCCAAGGCCAGAGCAGTCACGGTGCAATCAGGTGTACAATAGACGCTCCCAGAACTTTGATTAATTTTGAAAAATTGCATAGATTGTTCAGGATTCAGACTACCATAGCATGGACCATGGAACTATAATAGTTCCATGCATGGACATACTAACACGTCTATGACTATAGATGGCAGTCTGATTTTAGAGTGAGTAAGTAATTCAAAGAACAATAACTTTGAAGGATTTTGCAATACTTACAGCAGTGTATGTGTGTACTTAGAACTTCTAGTATGTCGGACCTTTCATGCCGTAGTAGGCAGCGAGAAAAAATAATCATGATTCAGGAAGGTAACATTTTTGCATTAGTGAACTCTGTTATGTTCACACGGCAGCATTCTATCGGAGCCGAACTGCTGCACCTTCCAATGCGATCATACGGTAGGGAGCCGAACAAGAGCCGAGATCTGCCAGAGTTAGATTCAGTTCGATCAGAGCCGAACGGAACAGTGCCCTCGAATAATTAGTGACGGAAAACGATTTTAGTATCGAGCTTTTTGTTTTTTTTCTTTACATGACACGATGCTGTTGAGCTAGGGAGCAAAAAGAGCCTGAGCATGGAGGTAGAAAAGACAATGACTGGTATTATGATTTAGGTACTAGTATATCGAATAAACAGGAAACATAGCAGCTACTAGTAATATGCGTTTAATATAGCCTATTCCCTCAAGTTATTGTCATGCAAAATTACCATTTTGTAACTATTCAATTGTAGTGATATCTAAACTCTATCTACCATATAGGGACTATCGAAGAATCTAAACCTACCAGGAACACGTCACCGTACCGCGATCGCTTCTACGATTTTTATATTTAGTGTCTTTAAAAAGTTTCCGTTCAGTCGTTCTTTCAAGTTTTTGTCGCATAATTTCGTACGCCATTTTTTGTTACCCGCTGAACTATCAATGTATCGCAATAATTCGTTAATATATATTAGCACGCGTAACTCTTCGTCAAGCCGGAAATTGCGTGAAATTACGAAAGATATTGTCTCCGCCATAATTGAAATAAGAGGTTACTCGAAGAAGACGATTGAGAGCGTAATTTCGGCTCCGATAGTTGGGCTCCGATGCGTTTACACGATCGGAGCCATGTCGGGACTCAACTCTATCGGAGTTCAACCCCGAGGGTTTATTGGAGCCGAACTTGGCCCGAGCCAAGTTTACACGGCCATTTTTACTGGCTCGAGCCGTTGGGCCCCGATAAAATGCTGTCGTGTGAACGTAGCAAATATGGAAGAACCCTATTTTCTGTTAATTAGTTGAAATCACTCGAAAAAAAGGGATGCGAATATCAACATAACGAGTGATGGCGAATAAATATTGGATTGTTAATCTTTGAAACATATAGGCACACAGATTAAAACATTGAGTGTTGTTGATTTTGGCTGCCTTGCTTCCCTTCAGAAAATCTACAAAAAAAACAACATACATGACATTCTATGTTATGCAGACTTTGTCATATGAAAGTTTATAGTGATTTCACCAATTAATAAATAAATGTGATAATCGTAATTTTCAACACAAATAATATTCTCGCTACCTTAAATGGCCCCACAATACCATATTCCAGTAAATTCTTATTTTTATGACGTTACAACGAACCTTGTTAACATAAACACACACACTATTTTCAATTGTGCATACATTCTATACACGAACAGCCAACACAATATCCTATAACTTGAACATGCAGTGTTGGTTATTGGTTGCCTAGGTGAATATATCCAAGTAAATCAGGTGGATTTGTAAGATTATTCAAAATGAGTGATGTTGTTAATGAGTCCAACAGCCAGGGTGCATAAATATGGTAGCCCATATATACAATCGGTCCGCTAGTTGAAAATCGCTTTGCTACTTGAAACAATCGGATCCGCTGCTTGAAAATCGGTCCGCAACTTAAAACCCACCCTCTACCTGAATTATTGCGCCAAATGGCCGCAGGTTTTCATAGTAACCTTCGAAACGCAGAACTGGCGGAAGCGAGGGTAGTCATAGCAATCGTTTTGATCTAAACAAACTATGAATACTACAGGGGAATATGTTACATTAAGTTTTTTAAATTTTTACTAGGATGCACAAACAAATAATCATATAATGCATACTCATTATTGTGGTATTTGCAAACGTTACGACTACCGCCAAACCCTTTAGAGCATGTGTATGTAGATCGTGTAATTTATAGTATTATATTTTGCCCTAAAGCTAACGCACCCTTGCAAGTTCGGGCGCTTCCGTAGTATGACTTCGGGCCATAACAGCCGTATCCAGTTCACAATGATCAGTAAGAGCTAAGAAACTATAAGTACGAGTTAAATTTGACCCGTTTTTTAGAACCAATCTACACCCTTTCCACGGCTTCAAACAAGTTCATTAACGCTTATCTTGTGCTAAACGCCAATTTGGAATATATACTCTTATATTCAAAGCTATATATCTCGGTATGCCATTTTCGACTTGACAATCGATGCGAAAACATACAGAGACATTATTCTTGAGAAAACTGGACTAACGACGAGACTTTATTTCCTGTTATTCTGCAATTCGCATTATCCGAGTTTTCATTGTTATTAGTCTGTAGCTACGGAACTAACACGTATATTTCCTTTGTACGGAGTAATCATAGTAGAAATGATTGAATATTTGTATTTCTTAAAGGGGAACCGCTCAATCCCATGGATTGCACCAACGAATCATGGGACACTATTGTTTCTGTTGTTTACAATGTTAATCTAATTTTTTGTTATCCATTGTTATTTTAATCCAGAAAGTAAATTTGTTGTGAAATTAGGCTTAACTGGAAGGTGCCCCTTTCACAAGTTTGAGTGCCGACTGAATTAGATAGCTATTATTTGTGTCACACGTTAGATAACAATTTCAAAATATCAATGTACTTCCTCCTAATATGTGATTAATAAACTGCTATATATAAATTGAGTTTAAACACTGAATACATAAATGCATGGCAATTTAGTTTGCAGATGCGCCTCCGTGCCTTTTTCACGAATATTTTTTTGTCAAAATTAGTCGTATGTCAGTTATTTCGTAATGTTTCAGTAACTGAAACAGGAAATGAACATTCATACAACTTTATAACACGTGCACCACTGAGTAGAGTATGACTCACTGAGGGCGGTGTACTAGCAAAAGGCGTCATTGGAAACATATCGATGTTAGCTGAGCCACTCACAGGAGAGTCAACCAGCGAACTGTCCAGACATCAACTCAGCACTATGCGTGGATACCATTTTAACGCACTGTTTTGTGCCTTGTTGTGGTCTTTTCAATCAGGTAATATATATATATATATATTAATATACATATCAAATATTTTTCATATTCAAGGTGATATCTCCAATGACAAATGGTTAATTTAAATAGTGGACATAAGCTACAGGTCTCTAGAATGGACTGATGCAATTTTAACAGAAGTGAAACTGGAAACCACAAAATAAACTTGTATGTTCGAAAACGCACTATAAGAACTGTAAAATATGATCGTTTATAATTAATGAGCCACGCGATTAGAATCGTCGTGGTTATCTGTTAGACGGCTGGGATCAAATATCAATTATTGTTACATCTTCTAAAAAGAAATTCAATGAACGGTTAATCCATAGCGAACTTCTGTAATTTTAGATAATTTATTGGCTTTGACGTGTATTATATCGGGCATGAACGGTCTCATGAGCTTGTTTTGAAAGCGGACACAATTTTGGGAAGTGCATTATAGCGCGGGAACGACTGCATGCAGCGACGCAGCGACGATGGGCATTTGGCATAGTTGTTGTTACATATGTTGTGTCGTATAGCGACGACGGAAGTATCCAAAAAAAAAAATGTTCCGTGTGTGTGGTTGAGTTGCGAACATGCCATGCTACCTGGGTACGGTTATGTGTATAGCGCTATAAAACGCATACCATACGAGTGCTGCATTCAACGACTGATCATACCACATCGGGTTTTATGAAGGGAGAGGTGTATGTTATCTTTTTAAACGCATAACAGGTCTAGCTAATTTTAACAATTATCTTTTCATTTTATGATTTTTTAATGACTAATATGTCCGCCATATTACAGTTCAATCAGAAGCTATTGAGATTATAATCCCACCAACAGTGATCGAAAATGACACTAGTGTCGAGATGAGGTGCACGGAGAATACAGCAGCGTTAGATTATAGTTGGTTTAAAAACGACCAGCTACTCGACCAACCGGACGATAATCTGATAAAAACTGACAACACTCTTACATTTAATGTGGTGACAAGAAATGACAGAGCGCTGTACAATTGTTGCCTCAGTATAATTACAGAAACTGTATGCAGCGATGCCAAATTACTGGACGTTCTATGTAAGTAATGTCGAATATATTTCTAAAGATTTTCTCTTTAATATGATCAGATATTTGATGTGATGTGATGTTATACTCTTTCAACAGATCTTCCAGACTATCCCTGGCCCGAATGTACAGTTGGTGTTGAGAGCGAAGATTATTACGAAGCTGGTGAAACCATCGTTATCACGTGTCACGCAACGGACGGCAACCCAGAGCCTGTGTTGACATGGTTTAATGGCAGTGATCCAATGGATACATGCGTCACGGAATCATTTGGTGTACCGACAGTTACCAATAGTACATGTTCATGGGTATTAGAATCAACAGATAATGGTAGAAAATATATATGTCATGGTATTCATAATGCAACGGAAGTAATCAACTCATGTAACACGGGGTATTTGGATGTGAAATGTGAGTGTTAGTGTAGTGCATGTTATAGTTTCTTCTGACTTCAAATATTCAACATATGCGACGAGTAGATTGGAATGTAGGCTATTGGACCTGACACCACAAAAAGTCGACATTAATATTTTTATTGTTTCACAGATCCTCCTGATTATCCTACGTGCAACATGTCCGTCGAGTCAAGTGCGCTTGTTGAAGGGAACAATACTATGATCACATGTGAATCACTTGATGGGAATCCTGCGGCAACGCTACTATGGATCAACACTACAGATAATACAGTATTGAATGCGATTACCCTCGAACCCAGTGACACTGAAAGTAGAGCAGTATATTCATGGACGCTGAGTAGAGCCGACAATGCGGCCATATACAGATGTAATGCCACGAACCTGGTCCAAGAAGAACCTCTTACTTGTGAAATTGACACACTCAACGTTACGTGTACGTTATTATTTTAAATTAGATTCACAATTCAGTATGTTTAACGCGGGAGGGTCGTCACCTGCGCACACGCTGGCATTGAGTCCCAAAACACACGCTAAGAACGCAAAGAATCATGGTTAGAAGTTTGTGTGTAAATATGGCCACCTGACGCATGCGTAAATGACGATTACCCCGCTTTAAGTTAGGAATAAATATGTAATTAATATATCAATAATTTGATGTGTCATTTTTCTGTATTACAGTCAGTGCGGAATACGTTAGAATAAGCAATCCAGGAACTTTGTTAGAAGAAGGAGACATCACGTATTTGACTTGTGAAACCGGAAGTAGTAACCCGATTTCTTCAGTGAATTGGTTCCGCAATAACACGTTAATAGAAGACAGTGAAAATGAACGTGTCGTGAACGTGAAGCATTCCAGTGGTGATTATAACGGATTTAAAACTACAGAACAACTAGAAATTTGTTTGACTGCTAAACACAATGCCGCATTTTTTCAGTGTAAAGCGTGTGTAGATGTTGTCGGGGACATAGTAGAGTCAAACAACATCAACCTGAACGTTAGTTGTAAGTTTAGATCGTTATTTTCATATTGTTTTTTATTTCTGTTGTCAACGGAGCGTAATTTATGATATTAATATTCGAACACAGTCAACACGTTGCATTTATTTATGTGTATACTCTATTGCGTGACCACGAAGTGTATTTGTATCCTAACTCAATACAGTTCCGCCAGTGGAACCTAATGGCTGTAAAACATGTATCAGTGGAAATGACGGTCCTGTAATTGAAGGCGACATATTGACGCTGACATGCACCACGTGTAGCAGTAATCCTGCGTCAACGATCACGTGGTACAGAAATAGATCACCAACGGACGAATATGTGGGAGCACCGGAACAGTCTCCTGGCGCATACTATGGCACGGTGACGTCACAAAAATTGCGATACAATGTTACCCGTATGGACCACGATGACGTGTTTCAGTGTGAAGCCGTTTACAACAACAGTTCAATGAATCAGTATGGATCTGATCACGTGATAGTCGATGTACACTGTGAGTAGATAATTACACAACAACATTTATTATAAATTATTGTACCAATATTATAACTCGCTCACAATACAACTCATAAATTTGTAATATATATATATGGTTCGTGCATCATATCGAAGTGACTCACCCCCCTAACAAAAAACACAGAATCAAGCAATGTGCGCAATGACAATACGAGCCACATTTTTGCAAGTTGTCTATAGCATGTTTAGAAATGTATTTCCATGTATAAAATACAATTACTTAAAACTTATATACTACGTTATAACATATTTTTCAGATTCTCCATTTGTGATGAACAGACTCCAAAACAGTCACGTGTACGCCGATGAAGATGAGACTGCTGAGTTAACGTGTGAAATAAACAGTAACCCGACAGTGGATATAACGTGGTTGGACAGTGTCGGTGAACCCATTAGTAATACCTCCAGGACACGTATTGTGACGTCGATCGTTGACGTCAACACGACCAGCATTTTGACAATATATGATGTAATCGACTCAGACTACGGGACCTATACGTGCAATGCGAGCAATTATATCGGTAGCGTCACCCACGACATTGACCTGAGAGACCCAAGTGAAAGTAAGGAAATCACAAACTTATATTTCAGAATATTTGTTGTATGGGGTTAATTATTTGATTCTGCTTAAGTTTTGCGTTGTCAGGTGATTTGGTACATCTTTTGTTTCGATAATAAAATATATTTTTATTGTCAGGCAGTCAACACACAGCGGAAAAGTGATATTGATATTATTATTAATCCTACTAATCATCGCATGCGTCATAGGAGGATTGTATTATTATCGAAGATATAAAGAAAAGAAACCAAGTAAATCAGGTTATTATAAATAACCAAACAGATAATATAATATGCATTGCCATAATTCAATATTTGAAAAATACAATAATCACAAATTAAAAAAAAAAATGAACATGACTTAATTTGTTTTCACAGATACCCATGATAACAGGTGAGTAGATTATCGGTATAGTAAATCATATCTTTACTAACTACTAAATCTTGATTTTTATTTTGGTTTCATCATTTTGTTTGTCTTGTGTTATACTATTAATATGCGTCTTAATATATGGAATGTTTACATTGCACAATTCCATCTATTGTGATCTTTTGAACAGTGAAAGCCTGTATATGGATATAACATCATTGCAAAAGAAAGATGACCCCCTTTATGCAAGGTTAAAGTTCAATCGCACCAAAAAAGGTTAGTCACAACATTTTGTGTGTGTTTTTTTTTCTCGCAGATACACATTTCATGAGTAACATGTATTTGTTTTTATGTTTACAGGTTTATCGAACAATGTTGGTTCATCCAAGGTAGGCGTGGTTCAAATTATTTTCATATATATACAAATCTCGTATACATACATAAAACACGATAAGGCATGTGTTTATCTTCTCAGGCCAAGAATTGGGAAATACCTTTGAAATCAATATCCTTTATAGAAGATTTATCGAGTTGTAGAATTACGTACCTTCGAAGGGCAGAGGTCAAGTTCAACAAACGAAACATTAATGCTGTAGTTAAAATGTTAAAAGGTATGGTATTTATTGCATTATTCTATTAATACAATCGTTACAGGGATAATGGCTTAATGCTTCATAAACATAAATAAAAAAAAACCTTAAAATATTAAAATTTAGAATATCCTGTATTTGTGTTGCAGACACGGAACATTGTACTGGCAGGAAACATCTGATGGCTGAAATTTGTATTTTGAAAGAACTTGATCATGTGAATGTAATTTCAATGATTGGCTGTTGTACTATTGAGGGTAAATTATTTCCTTCTTGTAAATATTTCCAATATTAATCATCATAAACAAATTCCCCGAAAAAGACATTCACAAGAATAGCTTTTCATTTTTTTTTTTCAGATCCGATATTCTCGTGTTAGAATATTGTTCTTCGGGAAGTCTTCAAAAATATCTACGTGAATTCAAAGCGCAGAATGATCAGTCATTATCATTAAAGAAGGATTGCCATTACACAGTGAATTGATCACGTACGGGAAACAGATTGCATGTGGACTGGCTTTCCTTGAGGAGAAAGAGGTAAATTAGATGTCGATTACTACTGTGCTGTCATGTATTTGGTGTTATTTTATCATTGAGTTTGGCCGTATAATTAATCACAAGAGATTGGCAGGCATTCATACAGTTTTGGGTGATTAAAGATCTATATTCATTTCTCAATTTAGTTTATTGTCGAATTATTCATCGTGAACATGGAGGTCGTCGTTTGACATGAACCCGATGCATGACTTGTTGTGTTTTGAATTTAACACCTTGACTATGCAATCATAATTACAGTGTGTTGTACGAGCACTTTCTGCAACAAATATTCAGATAGGAGATGATAAAGTTTGCAAAATTGCTGAGTTGGGATATTCAACTTCTGTAATGACGTCAGATGAGTTTGAAAGCATTGAAAGTGTAAGTTATTCATGACAGACAATTAGCATAATGTTGTTTCGATAATTTCAGAGATATCTCAAGTATTTATACACATATATCATATTAAAATCCGAACGGCTATTTTTAATGAACAAATAATTTAATTTTAATTATTTCTGTGTAGAATCGTCTACCTTTAAGATGGATGGCATTGGAATCATTGCTGGATTGTTTCTACACAACTAAATCAGATACTTGGTCATATGGAATTGTGCTCTGGGAAATATTTAATTTCGGTAAGAAACGAGCAAGTGATATTTTTTTCTCATGCAGAGAATGTATTCAACAATTGCTGCAATATGTTTTTGAACGAAATGACAATGTCAATTTTATGACAATGTGTATCCTGTGTATCATCTCAGGTGAAATGCCATACCCATAGGATGAAAGATAATGATATAGTACACGAAATCCAAGACGGTTATCGAATGCAGAAGCCTAGGCATTGTCATGTTAAAATGTAAGTGTAATAATATATCACTTATTTAATGTAAGCAAATCAACATCAATCATATGTGTCTATATTACACCAACTTAATATCCACTACTCTCTGCAGATACACGTTGATGTATCAATGCTGGGAACAAGACCCATCATCAAGACCTTCTTATGCACAAATAATAAATACACTGGAAAACGTCAGTGGATCCAATTCAGTGAGTATCATT